TGTTGATGGACATTTAGGCTGTTTCCATGTCTTGGCTGTTGTAAATGCTGCTGCTATGAACATTGGGGTGCAGGTGTCATGCAGAAGCATTTAAATATCTAGAAAAGATGCACCAGCCAGCTGCAGCCCAGGTGATTAACAGAAACAAACTGGCCATTTGCTGTTGTATTAGACTCTGAAGCAGAGGCCCAGATTGTCACCCCAGCCTGTGAAAGCATGTCCTGGAGTTCGGCTAGACTTTTCTTGAGACCTGGGTGGTTTCCTTGTCTTTACAAAACAGAGGGAAGTGACAATGTTTACCCCAGCTTCTGCTAAGGCAGCGTGAACCAAGCTCACAAAAATCAGAGCTTGTGAAGTCCAGAAGAATATACCCAACTACACGCTTTGAATGGTATTTTTGGAAGAAAATGAAAGAACATCTGGTTTGGTTAAGAGAGCAGCCGTCGTTTAAACAGTGATGTCTGCGGCTGAACTTCATCTGGTCCACACTGGTTAATCCGTAACAGTTCACTATGGTTGACAGCTTGTCTGATTGCTCAGTGCCACTGCTCAACCAGGAGGCCCATATTTGAAATATCAAGCCTGGTTATGTCATGGTTTCTGCATCTTTTATATGAAAGGAGTCTTAGAAAAAGTTCTACCTGTTTAGACAGACATGTAACAAGTAGACTCTCATATATTGCTCACTGATGTCTGCTAATTGTTTCACTCTTAAACTCAGAACAACCAGAGTTTCATTTCCTACAATGACGTTTTCTTTCCTCTCACAGCAGAGTTGAAGTAGAAAAATATATCACCTGGACCTTTTGTTTCTTACACACAACGGGCCCCCACCTCTCTGCTTTGTCTCCCGTTAGTCCTTCGTGGTCCAGCTGGACCAGTCTAGCTGGTAGCTCCCAAATCTGCCTGAGCGTTTCCCTGCTTTTGTGCCTCTGCCTTTGTCTGGTCACAGAAGTCCCCCATGCTCTCCTGGGATGATGTGGTGCTTAAACTCATGACCTAGCTGCAATCCTGCCTCCTCTGAGCGTTTCTCCACGTCACTAACTAAAGTCAATTTTCTCTCTTCGTCTTCTGGTACTTATTAGCTCTCCTGCTACTCAGCGACGATCAGTTGTTTGGGACTGTTTACATTTATTACATAATTGTATTCATAGTTATTTTCCACGTGCATGTGTGACCTATCCATGTAAAGGGCAAACACATGGAATTTAAAATGATAAAAATTGACCTCAACACTCAGCACAGCGGCTTGCACAGAGTAGACCGATTGTTGTCTCAAGCTGCCAAGAGGCATTTAGATGCTTTGTGTTTTCCCTAGCTCAGAGTCCAGTCTGCAAGACTCAGGGGAACCTTAGAGTTCAATTTTGTCAAAATCAAATGCCTTAATTTTCCACATTTGCATTCCTTTCTCCATCCAACAAGTCCCAGAAAGTCCAGGAAGGCTGTAGGTATGGGGGAGGGGAAGAGCCTAGAAAATCTTCCAACATCTGGCCCTCCTCTGGCAGCATTGGGGGGGGTGACGGGAGAAGGGGAGAGGAGAGAAGAGAAGGGCAGGCAGAAGCATCACCAAAAAGGGTATGAGAGCAGGCCTCCTTCATCATCCTGCCAAGCCTTCTTCATTTTGTGCCTTAAAAAATGAAATATTTAATAGAGACCTAATGAATGTTTGAATTATAATGTGATGTAGGAGTACAGCTCTGGGAGATAGAACCATGAATTCAAAAAATGTACAGATCCTAATCTCTGGGACTCGTAAATATGTGATCTTACATGGCACTGCTGACTTTGCAGGTGTGATTAAGTTAAGGACCTTCAGATTTAGTTAAGGACCCTCAGATTAAGCTAAGGATCTTTAGACAGCCTTGCTCATCAGTAAAGCAGAGAAGAAGGTCATCTGCTGAGAATGCTGGAGAGGAGTTGTTGCTGGAAATCTGGGAAGAGAGGAGGAAACCTGAAACAGTCAAGCAGGCAAATAAGAGAGGAACAGGCATCAAGACATGGAAACAGCCATATTTCCATCAACAGATGACTGGATAAAGAAGAAGTGGTATATTTATACAATGGAATACTACTCAGCCATAAAAACTGAAAGCATAACGCCATTTGCAGCAACATGGATGCTCCTGGGGAATGTCAATCTAAGTGAAGTAAGCCAGAAAGAGAAAGAAAAATACCATATAAGATCGCTCATATGTGCAATCTAAACAAACAAACAAAAACAAAGCATAAATACAGGACAGAAATAGACTCATTGACATAGAATACAGATTTGTGGTTGCCAAGGGAGTGGGAGGGTGGGAAGGGATAGACGGGATTTCAAAATTGTAGAATAGATAAACAAGATTATACTCTATAGCACAGGGAAATATACAAAAGATCTTATGGTAGCTCACAGAGAAAGGAATGTGACAATGAATATATATATGTTCATGTATAATTGAAAAATTGTACACTACACTGGAATTTGACACAACATTGTAAAATGATTATAAATCAATAAAAATGTTAAAAAAAAAGAAAGAAAAAAGAGAGGAACAGGCATGGGGCATATCACGTGATCACTGAACAGCATCACTGCCCACTTGAACTTAATGATAATGAATTTAAAGTGAAGCCAGTTGACATTCCCCTCCACCCTCCCAAAAAGAAAAATGGACAATCTTAATTAAAATGTGAAGAAAAGCAACTTTAGAATATTTGGCTATTTTAAATGATTTGTACATAGTCTGTCATAAAAATAGCTATCAAATGCTCCAGCTGTAAGACAAATCCATAAACTTCGATTCCTCCTCCCCCAGTGTCCAACCTCTAAGGCACACCCCTAGCGTTTTGTATTTATGAGTGGCTTATAGATTCTCCTAAGCTGCACTATGTAGGTTGCCAATATTTTAGAATTTCACATTCTTGTTAATGAGTGGTTCCCTGTTCCCCTCCACACAAAATTTACTAAAATTACCTAGGTAATAGTACATCGCAGAGCCATGAAATCCAGACAGTATTTTACACTGATTAGAATTGTCACTTTCAGCTGCAGTCTCCTTTCTCCTCCCAAAAAGGTGCACAAAAATCTCTTCTCCTCTGATCGCATCCGTTTATTCTTGGACATGGTGAGACTTAAATACAAAGTTAGTAACTTTGTCAAAAATACATGAAAGATAGACAATTTGTGGGGCTGGACTACTCACTGGGTCATCCATTCTCTGCTTACCCGACGAAACTTGGACTGATGGAGTAGATCTCCATCTCCAGGAAGGGTTAAGGACAGGAAGAGAGGTGAGAGGGTCTCAGAAAGCAGGGCAGCGTCAAAGGCTGAGCCAGATACCAGCTCAGAAGGAGGAAACGTGGTGTTTGTGGGACCAACTTGCAAATGCAAACAGGAGTAAACCCCAGCAAGGCTCGGCAACAGCTGGATTTCTTCAGTGTTTAAAGTGGTAATAAATGTCCACGACTATCTCTGGAACATGATTTATCTCTGAAAAATACATCCATTTAATAGACCCACAAGGATTAGTTAACCAACACTTCAGCTAACAACCAGCAACTTTCACTTCTCTAACTGGGTACCATTCCAGAAGTTTATCTGTTGGGGGAAAAAAATTCTTTTTACTTCCTTTTACTGGAGTGAGAATCATAATTGTAGGGTTCCCAGGAAGACTCTGAAAAGCCCTTAAGCCCTTGGATTTGGGGCGGGGTGGGGGGGGGTGATTTGAGTTGCAGTTTTCCAAACCGGTAAATGTGAGGGGTAGAAGAAACGATGCATGGGTTTCCTTTTCTCCCCAGGTCTAAGAGTTTACGAACTTTCAAAGGGAGACAGAGGTCAGTCTGAAACTCAGGTGCTGAGAGGTGTGCACTGTCGGAGACTTGTGTGTTGGGGCGCCCGGAGCGCATCCCGGGGGCGCCCCCGGAGCCGGGCGTGTGCGTCCGGCAGCGGCCGGAGCCCAGGCCCCTCCCCGGAGCCGCTCGGGCGCCGGACTCTGCCCGGGGCGCGCCCTGCGGGGCGGAGCTCACTCTGGGGACCGCGGAGCCACGACCGCCCCGCGGAGCCGACCGGCTGGAGGCCCAGAGCCCAGGGCAGGAGCAGCTCCGGGACCTCCGCTCGCTGAGCGCCCTCCAAGGTAGGCGACCCCTGGCGATCCGCGCACAGGCCACCCCCCAGGTGAACGGATGTCCAGGTGCCCTTGGAGCCGGGGCCCCCAGCGCCGCCCAGCGCCCCAGGGACGTTTTCCTGTAAACAGATCCTCGGTGAGGAGGATGTTCTCCCTGTAAACCTCTCTTCTGGACTCGGATTCCCTGGGCCAGAAGTCTGTGCTCTTCCGGGAACACAGAATTGCCTTCCCGGAGAAAGGATACCCACTTCTTAGCCCAGCGTATACCTGATTACCTGATTATTTATTTAGATTGCTGTTATGCAACCCCTTTGGCCAGGGGTCCCCACAATTCAGAGGCGGTGAAGAAAGCTCTCTGGAAAACGTGCTGTCGCGTGGCGACTTTAACAGGTCACCGCGCTCACAATTTTTAAGAGCATAAACGAATGACTGGGTGAAGTTGGTTGTCTTACCCTTCATTCATTCATCCTGGTTTCTGTAGCGGCAGGTGTCGCAAAAAGACACCAGCCTATTGGCTGACAGTTCTCCACTGTCATGGGATTTTTGAGCTGAAGGTTACTCAGCCCCTCGCAGTGGTGGGAAGGAGCCGTGCCATTTTACGGAAAGGGTAGATTTTAGATTGGATGACGGGACTGTAAACTTTCAACCTTCTTCTTCTTCTTCTTCAAAAAAAAATCTATGTATGTGGTTGAAAAGAAGTAATTAGCTACAGAAATAATGAGCTGTGTCTGTTTACCATTTGTACTATATTTGTCTGGTTTTAGGAATCAAAACCTGTTTTCCTTCTTGGTGTATAGAGGCCAGATGAAATGTCCCAAAGGGAACTGGCCTGCATTCGCAATAAGGAAAAGATAATCCGTCCTTTTGATTTTACCTAATGCTATTAAATATTCAGTTCCTCAGAAGCCTGGTTTTCCAGAAACACGATCTGAGCTGGAGTCTCAGGTACCCGAGCGGACACAAGTGGTGCTGCTGTCTCCTGACTCTGGCCCTTCCTCCCCCCTCTCCCCCTACTCTGGAATATCCAAGCATGAAGGTCCCTGACAAGGAGGAATTTGTGCCCAAGGCAAGGGCTTCTTAACTGCTAGAAAAACAATGAAAACGGTTTACACTTCCTGTGACCTAGGCAAACTTCTTAAGGTTTTTACCTTTGTGATTTGCCGAATAAAACTTAGTACCTAACCCTGCACTAACTAAAAAGAGACTTTTGAAATAAACGCAGACACCATTTCAGTTGTATTACTCACCTTTGTGGTTTCAGGAACAGGGATGGTGTTCGGTAGCTTATTGGTTTACAAGGGGCTGGACACGGGGCTTGACTTGGAATCCAGATTGTGGACAAAGCCGGGAAATGGAAGCTGGACTTGCCCAAAACTGAAAAAATGAGCTGTATGTTTATTTGTCTCAAATGATGACCGAAAAAAGGAACCAACTGAAGATTTTTGAAGGGAATAAGAGTCTTTTAAGGTAGCGGCTTCGAATTTTTGAACTGAGATATTTACATCAAAATTATATGGCCATTTATTGCTAGAAAAATATTTCATAATGGCAAAATGTCACTATCAATTTAATAACATGTTAAAGTGAATTGACATTTTACTAAACATGAAGACAGCTATCCACATGAGTTTGGAAAAGAAAAGCCTGTGTATATATATTCTCAGTTTTAGAAAATATTTGGTGCCCCTGTGGATTTTCAGGCCCATTCATATAGTCATTGAACCAATATTTATTGAGTGCCTGTTGTGCGAGGCACTATATTTTGTCTTAGAGACACAGGGGGATATGGCTTTGTGTAAATAAGTCATTCTTATCCTGATGGAATTTACACAATATTGGAATCCTTCAGGACAGCCCCAAGGCTCTAGATTAGGAACCGTATCAATCACCATCCATCAGCTTTGGGCAGGAACTGAAACTAGACTAGTTTCAAATCGCAAACTCTTTTACAATGGTTTGAGTAGTCAAATTTAAAAATTGTAAAGGAACTTACATGTTTTGTAGGGCCATTTTGTCTCTTGCTTAGGTTGGGGAAGAACTTAGGGATCATATTTTCTGAGTTAAATACTATGAAATATTGAGATATTAAACCTGAAAGAGCTAAATATCAATTCATGCAAATTAAATTAAAACTAGACTTGTAATAGGAGACGCCAGTAATTCAGGGGAGAAAAATCAATGACTGAACATCTTCAAATCAAGAAAATGTTATCCTCCAAGTTATTTTTTCCCTGTACGTTAAAAAAAAATGACTACGATCCTGTTTTACCTTGGAGGAAAAAAGTGACTTTACACAAGGCATTCTGGCCCATTTTTTTCTTTTGCTATTTTAAAAAAACATTTTATTGGAGGTATAGCTTATATACCATAAAATACACCCAGGTGTACAATTCAGTGATTTTTTAGTAAATTTATGGAGTAGCGCAACTATGCTCACAGTCCAATTTTAGAACATTTTCATCATCCCTGACCCCAAAATCTCACGTGTCTGTTTGCAGTCACTCCCCATTCTCACCGCCAGCCCCAGGCAACCCCTAGGTCTATTTTCTGTCTCTTTAGATTTCACTTTTTTGGGGCAGCGCCTACAGTGAGATTATACAATGTATGGTGTTTAATATCTGGCTTCTTTCAGCTAGAATCACGTTTTGGAGGTTCATTCAGGTTGTAGCAAGTGTCACTAGTGGTTCCTTTGTATCATTAGCTAACGTTCATAAAGGTTTGTTGGCTACATCACATTTCACTTACCAGCTGATGGACATTTCTGCACTAGCATTTAAGTGGTAAGACATATTTTTGTCCAGCTTCCATGGTAGCACAATTTTAAAATAACTGATAGGACCCAAACTCTTCTATATATTTATAAAAAATATACTCCTAGTACGGATCACTGATGTCTACCGAATGTGTCATCATTGTGATCCTTCCGTGCTGTTCCATGAAAATAGCAAATAGTAAACCCCGTGCCAGTGGCAGGAGGCATCAGTCACTTAATATTCTAGGCTGGACTTCGAAGATGTTCAACCCTGGACAGTAACATGTGTAAAGAGCATACCCCTCCTGTGCTACGTTTTCTTTACAAATAATTTGCTTTTAAAGTCGGAGGATTTTGATGACTGTTTGACTTAATGGTGATAACTGAACTACTCCTAACAGCCTAAGCACTTCTTAATTGCATATTTCAGTGGCACACTTAACATAAAGCATGAGTCATCTATAGATGGCTGTAGCCTTAAGCCAAAAAGCAGAAGGGAGTGCATCTGGATTTACAAGCCCTTAGTTTTATTATTCCTTAGTTTCCATGACTGTGATAAGAATGAAACTGATACAATTGTTTGCTGATTTACTAAATCGATAATTGGAGCTTTGAAAATCCAAAACAGAAGAAATGCCTGTCCTTTTTCCCCAGGGCCTTTATGAGAGCTAGACTAGAATTATAAATTATTCCAGGATCTTACTAAGCAGTGGTGATGTCTATAAGTCTACAGCACAAACCAAATAAGAACTTCCTAACACTACAAAAGCATTGGCTTTTATTTTTCACCTCTCTTAGGAAGCAGGGACCTGGGACAGAGCCCCAGTCAGAGCCGTTTTCTTATCCATCCACGTTCATCCTGCTTGCTATCAACTTTCATGGCAAGCACATTTTTAGTGGATCACGCATGGCAATTTATGCTTAAAGATCCTCTTAGGAAGATTTCTTCAGTTGAGTGGAAGCTCTTCTACAAAAAGTTAGGAGATTCTGTAAAACTAAAGAGAATATACTATGTCTCTGAACGCCTGTAAGTTACTGCTGGCATTGCAAGTTCCTATTGGGGAAGAAAAGAGCATTCAGATAACTTGAAGCTCTATTTTATCGACAACTTGGAATGCAGAGGATTTTATTTTTCAGCTTCTAAAATTTGGAACCAAATAATACCGTTTTCCAAAGCTGGGTGTGCTCTTTGGGAGCTCAGTTTGTCTGCTGGAAATATCAAAACAACTTGTTAAAACTTCTGGCTCAGAACACTACTGTTTTTGTTGATCTGTGGTTAGATGACATGATCAATCTCTGTTGGTAAATTCCCTCTCTCTCTGTCTCTCTAACTTGGTGAAGGTTTAAATATTTCCAGGAGAGATGCATTTTTCTAGTCTTACGCTGACAGTTTCATTCCAAATGTCTCCTAAGAGTCAAATACCAAATACAGGATGGACCTTCATCCTTCTCACTTTCATACACTTTGGAATCGATGTGGACACTCTCCCCATGTCGTGTCCCTTCAGCAACAGCAAGAAAGCCTGCTCAGCACTGAGCTGTTAGAGTCTTCTAATTACTTTGGTGATTTCACTCACTCATCACTCACGTTCACTCTGGTTTCACGCAGAACCAGAAGCCACATCTCACCCTTGTATCCTCCTGTCAGCCCCTGGATTTTGGTAGGATGCTGCGCTGCGATCAGTCTGAGACCTTCCTGGCACAGGAGGGTGAGTGGAGCGGGTGGTGAGGGGCAGGGTCCCCTCTGTTTCAGGGGGTGGTCAGCCCCTAGGAGACTTTGTAGTCACTGGCCCAGCGTGCTGCTGTGAAGAATGAATGCGTGTTATGCATCTAGAAGACGATAAGGAAAAGGATGGGTAGATGAGGTAAGGAGTTCAAGGTTCAAGAATTAGATTTAAATCTCCTTGTTGCAAATATTCTTATATACTTTTTACACATTTCCTCCTACTTTGCCACCTCAGTAAATATAGTAAATGGTGATCACGATCAGCTTTCTAAGACGTGTGAGATTCCCCTTGTTTTTCTCGCCATATTGAATGTCAGATTTCACGGACTGTTTGTCCAGGACCCGCGGCTCTACCTACCGGTCAGCAGCCCTGTTGCTTGCTTTTTTAATACTCTTGATTCCATTGTTATTTTTTGCCATTTACACTTTTTGGAGGATCAACAATTTAAATGAAGGAAAACTAAGCCAGTTAATTGTGGCTTCCAGTTCCGATAAAATCAGTGAAGTTCCTTGGATTTTGAAATCTCAGTTGTATTTTGCTTTTTCTGGGCTATTGAATTACTATTGAATTGAATTACTGTTTTTAAAATAAAAGTATATAAATTCATCTTTGTTTAGTGTAGAGTTCTGTAAGTTTTGACAAATAGTTACAGCCATGGAACCACCATCACCACGAAGATTTAGAACACTTTCATCACCGTCCCACCAAGAAAAAATTAAAAAATTCCCCTATGTCCCTTTGGTAGTCAGTCCTTGCCCCACTCTCAATCCCCAGGTAACTGCTGTTCAGTGTTCTGTGTCTATAGTTTTAAATTTTTTAGTATGTCATTTAAATGGAATTATGGAATATGCAGCCTTTTGGATTTGGCTATTTTTAATCACCATAATGCATTTGAGATTTCTCTATATTGTTATTGTATCAGTAGGTCATTCTTTGGTATTGATGGGTAGGATTTACCTGTTGGTGAATATTTGAATTTTTCCCAGTGTTTGGCAATCGTAAACATTTGTGTTTTATGGAACATATAAAAATCCTCTAGGAGAGAGATTGCTGGGGCGTACAGTCTGTACTTAACTTTATGGGAAACTGCCTAAGTGCTGTCATCCAACGTAGCTGTGCACTTTGCATTCCCACCAGCGACACACGGGAGTTCCAGCCGCTCCCCAACCCCACCCACACGTGGTATTGTCTGTTTTTCCCTCCTTCGCTGGATGATTTTTAAAATGAAGTAAACTATGTTGAAGCTAAACTATCCTAAGACACGTTTAGGAAGCCATCAATATTTTGTAAATCCTTGAGCCTTTACTCTTAAAATATTTTATAAAGCCACAAAAGAAATTTTCCAAAAGGACACCTTCCTTATAAGTATTACAAATGACGGAGATATGTCAGTGACGACTGCTTCTTTCCATATTTTCTTCACTGACAAGTCGTAAGTGGCTTTTCAGTTGCTTGTTAGTTGAGAAGGACGAAGCAGGAGGAGTAATTGACTAATGGGACGGGGGGACAGGACTAGAGAGGGGAAAACTGGGCTTAGGCATTGACACTTTCAAATGATGTCCTACAAGCAAATGTCCACGGTAAGTTGTGAACATAACTATTTCCTGTTCTCTGAGTGCGTGCTATGGCCGGATACCGCATAATAAGCTCTTTTTATGCATTATCCCATTTAATTGTCCTGTACCTGTGAGGAAGGTGTTTTCATCTGGATTTTTCAACTGAGGAAGTTAAAGCCTAAGGGAGTTTAAAAATGCTCCCAAGGCTGCCCAGCTAGTGAGGAAGTAGAATAGTCTCGTGGGCAACACTGACCGAGTCCCAAGCCCTCATTTTTAAGCCACGAAGTCACACTGCCTCTGTTGGTGGAATAAATCTATTACAACAGCCTCTGCTCAGGCTCCTGAGGACACACCTGGGGACTCACAGCAGGAGTTACTTGACTGTTACTTAGTCACTTTCTTTGGAAAACCCCCACTACTAAATGAGCTTGAGTCCAAGAAACTAGGCTTCGAAATTGATTCTGAACTCAGCAGAAGGCAAACACAGGTTGGGATCCATGACCGTCATGACTGAGCTGTCTGCTTGACCTCAGCGGAGCTTCATCTGTAAAATGGGAACAATAACTTTAGCCCCTTGAGGTGCTCCTGCGGATTATCAAGGGCCGCACACCCAGGGTGCGTGTGGTGGGCTCGCAACAGAGCCGCATCTCTCCTCCCCACTCTGCCCCACGTGGGGAGGGAGTCATGTGATCTGCACCTCCTGGCAGCTTATCTGCTATCCTGGGCACTGGGTGAAACCTTCAGCTGTTTTTCAAAGTTTCAAATTATACCAATGGACTATGAAGATAGATCGTCTCATTACAAAGACAGTTGGATTTGGGGTCAGGTTTTTTGGATTCAAGTGATGGCGTTAATGTGTGATCTTGAAAAACATCACTTTTCTGTGACTTGGTTGCCTCATACATATATCTAGAAAGATATAAATATATAGGTAATAATTATACTACAGTGTGTTATGATGATTAATTTTGACACTATATGGAAGATAATTTTTTGGTAAATGGCACCATGCTTTGCCAGTAGTGTCTATTTGTACACTATGTTAGTACTAATATTTCAATCCTGTTATTCCCCAAACTAAATAGCTTTTATTTCATATCTAAGAGCTTTCTATATCACTGGCTATGATATAAATCTATGTATGTATACAAATGAATAACATTTAGCAATGAATAGAGTTAATTCTACTTAAAGTATCTCAGATTATTACTTGCAAATAGCTTTGAGTTGGGCTCTGCATTCAGATGCATTATTTTTTGAGATACTGCGCAATCATTTTCAGGTAAACTGCACAGTCACCTGAGATTTTTGCCAGCTGACACTGGATGTCACTGTTGTGTCGTGTAAAGCAACTGCAGAACAGGTGTGCTATTTAGTATCGCTGACTCGGCCAGTCTCTTCAAGGGTTTGGAGATAGGTTAGCTTTTCCCCCTTCATATAACCTGATTACCCTTGTAGCACTTTTGTCATAATTTACTCTTTCAGTTTCTAATCTCTAAGGCCTCTGTAAGAGTGACCAAGAATGATGAAACCGATTTCAATATTGTTAACTTAGAACTGAGAATCTGAAAATTCAGAAGAGGTGCTAAAGCCATTCAGGGCTCTTGGTTGCTAATCAGAGTCATTGACTCTGGCTAACCTAAGTGGGAAAGGAATGTTTTGCAAGAATACAAAGCAGAACTGATGGGAAAACAAGATACGGAAACGGAAGAATCCAGTGTCTTGGTGCCTCAGCCAAGATCAGTCCGTAGCAAAAGCAGGAGAGAGTGCTTCTGGAATTGCCACTGGACAGTGGGTACCATGCTGCTGTTCCTGCCACTGGACACAAAGCAGCACTCTGTACCAGAGTCCCTTCCTTCAAAGAGTCATGACGGAACAAGCCTGAGGGCCAGTCTCTTACCGGCATGTCCCGGTGGGAGGGTGCAGGCGGCTGGGTCTAGGACTGGTATCTGTGCTCCAGCCCCAGGGAGTGAGGAAGAACAAGTAAGAGATCCTTCCTGCACAGACTCATATAGACGGTGAGCCCACCTACCTGGGAGGGAGCTCCAAGCCCAGCATCCACTATGGTGCTTTTCAATCAGCACCCGCAGACGTGAGTTGAGAATGCCGCTGGGTAGGCAACTGCCCTTTCTTGCTCCTTCCATGGGCTGACCGGAGTCAGCAACCCCATGGCCCCTGACAGCACCCCAGACTTTGCTGTACCCTGCCTTTCCTTCAACCCAGAGGGAGCCATACCAGGCAGGGCTAGACCTGTTTTAAGTGGTTAAGGAGAAAACTCCCTAGGCAAATTGAAAGTCTTAACAGGTTTCAGTCTGTTGGAAAAAAAAAAGGATAAAGTACACTGCGGACCTTTTTCTTAGAACATGACTTTAAGCAAGTTCCAGCCTCTGCTCTTTCTCTGCCCTTTGCCTGGAATCCCCTTCTCCCACATGGCCACGCGGCTTCATTTCCTTTTATTCTAGTCTTTTGCTTAAATGCCACCTCTTCAGATTGGCGGTCTCTCCCCACGCATCCAGAACAGCACCACTTTTTTTATTCTATTACCCTGCTCTACTCTTCTTCGTGACACTCGTCACCACCCCTGCTTGTGTTCCCCTTGTATGTATTGTTTCGTTTAATGTCCGCCTGCCCCTCTGTACTGCAAGTCCCGTGAGAGCAGGGTCTCTGACTCATTTCTGCGGCCGCGGCTCCTAACGCAGCTTCATTCTATAAATATTTAAAACATGAATGAATGAAGGGTTAAACAGAGGAAGGAAACACCTTGATTAGAATCTCTAGACTATCAACAGTGCCTGTATTCGTCTCCTAAGGAGGCTAAAATACAGTACCACAAACTGAGTGGTTTTAACGTGGTACTTCCTTGTCTCACGGTTCCGGGGGCTGGAAGTTCAAGATCAGGGTGCTGGCAGGGCTGGTTCCTTGAAGGCTGTAAGGAGGAATTTGGTCCATGCTCCGCCCCCAGCGTCTGGTCCTTTCCTGGCAATCTTCGGTGTTCCTGGGCTTGTGGAAGCATTGCCTTGATCTTCGCCTTCAACGTCAAGTGGAGTTCTCCTCGTATGCATCTGTGTCCAAATTTCCCCTATTTACAAGGACATCAGTTATAGCGGATTAGGGGCCACCCTACTCCGGTCCGATCTCATTTTACCTAATTAGGTCTGCAACGGCCCTATTTCCAAATAATGTCCCATTCTGAGGTCCTGGGGTTAGGACTTCAACGTATGAATGGAAGAGGGGTACAAAACTTACTCCACAACGGTACCTTATATGTGTTTATTCAAATGGTTGAGCCATCCTTATGTCATTAATCAGAGAAGTAGGTTTAGTTACATAATCTGGGGTGTCCAGAGATGTGTTGGTTTATCCGATGGATTATAATACACAATCGTGTATGAATTGCTTTGTGGTCAAAAATGATGGTAAATTGTTCATCAGATGTGAGCATAATCAGTTGGGGATGTTGACAAATTATTGATGCATTGTGCTGTTTTCAAGGAAAGAATCAATACCATGGATTTGCTAGTCTTAAAAGACCCCAAAGCAGATTTTTTTCCTTTATAGCCCAGCTCAATCTGCAGACTGTTTGCAGTATTCCCTGATTCTTCACTACCACTCAGACTGCTTGTCAACAGTAATTGTGGGTAATGGTTTTATATCTCATTTACTTATTTGACAAACATGTACAAATCATTTATTATGTGCTGAGCATTAAGGGCCTGACAAATGTTAACTCACAAACAACCATATGTTGTTTATTATTTACATTATTATTGTTAATGATATTATCTGAATTTTACAGAAACTGAGGCACAGAGAGGTTAAGGAACTTGCCCCAGGTCACACAGCTACTGAGTGGCAGCCAGGCCCTGAAACTAGACAGTCTGCTTCCCAACCTTTTAGTTGTAGAATGATCTTTCTTCACAGAAAGCCTCATGGAAAAATTCAGTGTGTGACAGAACAAAGCAGAGCTGCTTTTGGTTCAAGTCCAGACGGCGAAGCCTTGTCTGCTCAGCACCTCCCCTGCCCCCTGGGAGCCCTGTTTGAAAAGCCTTGATCTAGGAAATAATACCTTTTGGCGTGATGCCACTTGTAAGCTGTCTTCAATCCACTCTAGCATAAAACAAATGAAATTCTTTTCTCACTTTAATTAACTGATTGTGTTTTATTTTGAGAATTTTATCTGCCTAATCTACTTCTGGCAGAAATAAAATGCTAAGATGGATTTTTCCCAGGACGGTAATGCCATATGGCAATTTGGACTTTGCTGGCTTAAGTTCCCCTTGGGTTTCTTTCTACAAATGAAGGGCTGTGGTCGTGAAAGTTTTCTGAACCAGAAGAGAGAAATGGGATTTGATTTCATACAAATAGAGTTGCACATAAACTTTGCAACCAGATAGGCATGAGCCACCTCCTCTGTTGCAGACTGCTTATTTTCTGTGGTTGTTCATGGTATAAAATAATCTGAGCAGCAGTATTAATAGTTACTGTCCACTGAGTGGGATTTTTTTAAAAAACCCTCATTTTTACAACTCTAGGTGTTATCACCCCATTTTACAGATATGTAAGTTGAGGCTAAGATTTTATGTAATTTGTTTAAGATGGCACAACCAGTGAGGGAAGAAGGTAGGATGTTTTGAGAAATATCAGTGATTAAGGAGCAGAATTTTTTGATATTAAGAATAAAGGACACATAAGAGAATATCTTTTAGGATAAATAATGTGAGGCCTGATGCTTATTGTCTCTGTGGATGTTTATTTTGCTTCCAGGATTTAAATGTTGTTTTGGACTAAGAACTGAATCCCAGAGAGACTTCAGAGGCCTGAGTAACAGAAGTAGTTCCCCTTAAGTTCTGCTAAGACAGGAGCAGAGCTGCGGCTGCCAAGTCAAATTCTGCTGAAACAAATAGAAGCCGTAGTGGCCTTTCTAAGAGGATTTAACATAAAATGGAAAATTCTTGGCATACTCTGCCAGTTTCATTGAAGATTAAAGGATAAATGCAGGACTTTGAGGCATCCCCAGAAGCTATCTAGTTTTAAAGTGATGCTAGCAAATAGGAAAATTCTTTGTATATTCTGACAGCATAGGTCACTGCTAAATTTTAAATTTTTTTTTTTCCTCACTAGGGAACCTGGCCTCAATGTGATAGAGACACCCTTGATCTCGGTGACAAAAAGAAGAACGTTTGAGTTTCAGCTCTGTTAGCTTTACTGTGATCTTGGGTACGTTAATTCACTTACAAGACTCTTCCTTATCAGTAAAAAGAGATTAATCGTGCTACCCCACAGGGCTTTTATTTTATTTTATTTTTTAGTTCTTTCCGATTTATTATGAAAATTTCAAACAGAAACAAAGTAGTAGAGGAACATAGTGAATCCCATGGGCCCTTGCCCAGCTTCAAAAACTCCCCACATTTTATCAAACTTCTTTCATCTTTACCTCACCTCATTTTCTCCTCTCTTTAAATACCAGAGTAAAACACTCTTTTTAAAATTCCAAATGTAATATTATTTCACCTGCCAATATTTCAAGATGTATGACTAACAGATAAGATCTTTTTAAAGAATATCATGATTCTGCTGTTACACTGAGCAAAATAATAATAATTCGTTAACATCATCCGCCCTCCAGTCAGCATTAAAATTCCCCCAATTGTTTCAAAGATGTCTTTATATAGCTGGTTTATTTGACTCAGGAGTCAAAGAAGATTCATATAATGTATTTGCTCATGGGTCCCTTAAGACAGATAATTTATGGCAATTTCTCTTCTCTCCTTTCATCATATAATTCATTTGTGGAAGGAATAGTTATTTGTCCCATAAAATTTCACATCATCTGGATTTGGCTGATTGCAACCTCCACACTTACAGGCTATTGAAAGTTAAATAAAATGCAGTATATTAAAGGTCTCTGTAAGGTGTAAAGTGATATACATACACATATATAAGTTTTCTATATATATACACACACATACATAGAATTCTGTTATGTTATTTTACCTCCTCAGATATTAATTAAGCACTTACAATGTGCTAGAATATAAATATGAGTAAGGCATGGACTCAAACCTCGAGGTTTTATAGTCTAGTATGATACGGACTAAAAAGGAAAATTTCACATTTTTTCTTCTCTGTTTAATTCTTAAGTTTCTAATCAATGATTGATTCAACTGGTGTTGTTTTAATATTAAATTAATTAATTAATATTAAATTAATTCCTGGATATATACAGATTTCGGTAATTTACAATATTTTTCTACTATGTTTGGTTACACTGCCTAATACAGAGCTGCTTTCAGTTTATGAATCATATAATTATAACATCACGTAAGTTAGTTTTGTTTAACTGAGTTATGTTTTCCCAAAGCTGGACTTCACAATGACAACAGTAACAGTGACCCCGGCGGCGACCCTGAGGGGTAAGGTAGAAGACAGTTCTGCTCTGTGTGAGTCCACGTCAGCTCACATCATTGAAGAAACCGAATACGTGAAAAAGGTATGTAGGGATGTAGGCACTGGAAATCGTGTTGGCATGAAAACACTTTTTACAGTAAAATCTGCTACGGCTTGGTCTGCTTTGCTTCTCCCTCCCTAGAACACGTGAGGAAGAACAAACCTAGTTTGACAAAGGACCAGCTTGGTAGCTGAAATAAACACATGCTTAGTAATTTCTCTTGAGGGTATGAACCTCTGTTCCTACACGTGGAGTTAAACTGGATAAACGGCCAGGAGGGTCCAGAACACCTGTCAGTGCCCTGTTTGTCCCACATTGTTCACCACGGCACCTCTTACTTACTGTTTTATAGTATTTCTCTGTTGCTTCATGAGTAAGGCTACTAAGTTGCCAAGTAGATGTTTACGTTCCCTGCTGTGTTTCTGTCTCTCCTCCCCTTGTTCCTTTTCTAGCAGCTCAAGGTGACTGTCACCAACGATTACATGTGGTACATGCCGGCATGTACTCCATTAAAAATGTGAAATCTTATGAGAATCCTATGATAATGGCTGACAAAAGTGTACATTATTATGAAAAATTTTTTTTGGACAGATGGAAAAATTTGGACATTATTAGTTTGTAACTTTTTCAGGTTGATTAGTTCATCTTTGAGTGTCTTGCAATTCCATAGAGCACCAAGACATGGGGCTTTTATTTCATGTATACATTTGTATGATCTCCTCTGAATGATTATTCTCTAGTAATTACTAAATAGTAATTATTCCCTAGTAATGACTAGATAGCTATTATATTGTGATAATTACTAGATAGTAATTATTTTGTAGTGATTACTAAATAGTAATTGTTTTATAGTAATTACTAATAGTAAATTAGTACTAAATTACTATATAGAAAAAAAAGAACTAAAGAGTATTACGTACTAATTACTAAATAGTAATTATTTTGTAGTATAATATTCACTGAGGCTATATTTTATGTTTGACTAAGAAAGGTTATAAAGACCAAATGCACATTTTCTGCAATGTATACAAGATAAGCCTCCTTGCAAGTTAGGTTGATGGCGGTTATTTAAATCCGAGATCCTAGTATATGTACTACTTTCTAAATAAATTAGGCACCCTGTGGCTGGTGTAGAGACAAAAAAAAAGTATTGGGGATTAAATGCCTTTGAAAAACATTTTTTTTTTCCTTTTAGATTCGAACTACTCTGGAAAAGATCCGAAATCAAATATTTAAGGATGAAATAAGACAGAACAGGACAAATTGCAAACTAGATGCAAAGGTAATGAATTTATCAGAATGCACCACGTTTATTCCTTCATCATAAAGCCATGTAGACTTTATTTAGATGACTTTTTTTGATGATTATGGAATCTTTTCTTGGTATCTAAAGATGTTAACCGGCATATGTATGAAATGTTTAACCACAGATGTCACTAGTAGGGTGAGATTGGAATGTCCAGATCTTGCTTGAATATTTTAAACTTAGCTTACTTATCTAAAGTATATGGGAAGACGTTGGCCCAGCCAGGAGACATGGCAGCAACATTTCTGAATGACAGACAGGGTACAACCTTTTAGGCTCACTTGGGCCGCACCAGTGGACACACAGTTGAAGCCGTGATGCTAGTGATCAGACAGTCAATAAGCTTAACTCACCCCTTTCCCGGTGATCAGCCTTTTATTCTCAAGATTGTGAATGACAAATACTGCAAGCTGTATCAGTAAACAAAGAATGCTAAAGCCATCAAGTCATCAGCAGCTGCTGCCACCCCTCAGTGAAGACAAGCCTGCAGCTCAGCCTCTGCAGCCACTCACAACGGTGCCCTCTGAGGGCACTCAGAATAAGAAAGGACAGGACACTGGCCCTCGATAGCTAAATGCTCATTAAAAGAATGCTTTCAATGAGCCCAGATGTTTGCTCCTTCCCATGCATAGAAAAGCACTAAATTCTAAAACCAGATGCCTGGTTTTCTTGTTCCAACTACCTGGTCTTTGTTGTAAAACTCCTATGTATCCTAGCTCTTCCCCTACCTCTTCAGCGCAGTCCCTCAGAGCGATCTGAGAGGCTGTCATCCCGGGCTGAGTCCTCAGAATTGTCCACCGAATAATACATAACTCTCAGCTTTGAGGCTGTGCATATATTTAAGTTGACAAGATAAGCAATCTGCACTCAGCCTTGTCTGGATTGTGCCAGGTTAAGCCTCACCTGAGCCACAGGCACCTCATTAGTGTCAGTGTCATCACGATGTAGGGTGGCCACAGAGAACATGGGGACACAGGGTCTGAGGCATGAACAAAGTCTCGCTAGTTGTCCTCGGCTCCCAGACTAACACAGCCAGCCCCAGTTATCGTCTCCAATTAAGTGCTCTGAAACTGGACGGAAGGTGAACGCTTGCAAATGAGAGGGAAGATCAAACATTCAGGTCTGACTTTGTTGGGTTGCCTGTTCGACTTCCAAGGGGAAGATTCTGGCGGAAGGCTGGATATCTGATTCTGGAGTTGAGGGTAGCGGTCTGCGCTGGAAGGTCCAGGCTGTGGGGCAGAGATGTGCGGAGTAAGGATGGTACTGAAAGTTCCCAAACTGGAGGAGATCGCCAAACATACGAGAGTGGTTAGAAATGAGAGAAAATTTAAGCACCGAGTCCTGAGATTTCCAACAGTTAGATGCTGGGAAGAAGCAGCAGTGCTGACGAAGGCAGGTTCATGAGCCCCACGCACCCTGAGGCTGAACAAACGGAAGCCTCTGGAAACCTCGGAGTTTGGAGCAGAGAAAGGTTTACTGCAGGGCCTGCAGGGCCAGGTAAGGAGGACAGGGCCAAGATAATCCTGAACTCCCCAAAGGGTTTCAGTAAAGCATATTTAACATCCAGATTAAGGTGGGGGGGAGTCGCAGGGTGTGTGATCAGCTTATGCACGATCCTCTGGTTGGTTGATGTTGCAATGACGGGGCAGTCCACCCCTAGGCGCCAGAAGGTCTGGGGGCTACGTGTTCTCCATCATCAAGTAGTTATTTCTTCCCTTTGGCGGTGGTTTTTTAGCATATGAAAAACTCGGGAAAAGTATCTGAGATACTATTATCTGGGCCCTTCAGGGAGGAGCTGCAGCAGAGGATGTGGGGGAGGGGTCTGTCCCAGGAAGGCCCCACAGGGTCCTGCTGGGTTTTAACAGGAGTCTGAGAAGTGAGGCTAGTGAATTAGGAGGGAAAACAGAGGAGAAAGGAGTCAATGAAGACAGGCAGAAAAAGGGTTTCAGAAAGTGCCAAATGATGTTCTTGGGTCAAGTAAATTGAGGGCCAGTTATTGACCACTTGATATCACAGGGGGGAGGTTGTTGGTGACCTTGATAGGAGCAGCTTCATAGGAGTGCAGATAAATTGTTGTCAGTGTGTCTGCCTCGGCCATCTCAAACCACAGGTCAGCAGACAACTTAGATCAAACAAAAACAAACAGCTGGCTTTGTGGATATCATTTATCTTCTAAAAGGTCTCAAAAATATATTTAAAACTGTAGGGAATGTCAAGGGCATGAATGATGTACTTCTGGCCTCCTTTTCGCATTAGAATCTATTCAAATTTGGACAAATACAGAGGCCAGCTGCTTGATCTGGAATTTCCCGTTGATAATGGAGATTAGAAAGATTTATTTGTGCCAACTTGAACCTTCCTTGCTGTGTGTAGTACTGGCTGATAGTTACTGGTGTCAAAGTTGGTTAAGGAAAGAAAACGTCAGGTCTGTGATCTTCCTGTTTGTTCATTTCAGCGCAGTGGAAACATTCAAAGTGGCTCTGGTTCTGAAATGGAGCCCAGTTTGGACCCGCTTGTGGAAAAGATAAAAGGAAAAGACCTACAGCTCTTAGAACTGAACAAAGAGAATGAATTATTGAAAATCAAGGTACGACAGTTTGGAGAAATTTCTAGGTTTGTCCTTGAAGCCTTTGAGCCAATAGGATGGATTTGTGGATCTGTGAGAGCAGAGGCGCCGCCATACACGTCCATCTGTCCACACGTGTGCTCGCGCACATGGAGAAGAAGCATTTGTGCACTTGATCAATTAAATCTCACTGTTTCATGTTGGGGATGATTTTTATTATTGAAAAGATTTTACAGAAGTTCAACGGGTATAACGTTTCAGTTGTGCAAGATGAGTTAATCCTAGAGACCTGCTGGATAACGTTGTGCCCGTAGTTCACACTTCAGTGTGCACTTAAAATTTTGTTAGCGAGGTTAGGTCTCATGTTAAGTGTTTTC